TCATCCCTGAGGATTCTTTAATGTACCTGGAAGAGGACTAAATGGTCGAGGCTTTCAGCTGCGAATTGCTGAGGGCGGTAGTGGAGATCGGGGCTCCCGCAGTTCGAATTGCCTTCGTGTTTGCCACGAGAGAAAATTCAAGTGTCTTCACTGGAGTCAACTGTAAAAATGTCATTAATTAATGTGAGACTAATTTTATAACAGTAACATTAAAATAGCCGCGTAGTGCCTTTCTATTGTCTGATTGAATCGTTGCTTTGCAAAAAAATGCTTAAGAAATTTCACTAAATTTTAATATTCTTATTCAGTGATACGATCATTTTTGGCGGGTCAAAACGAGCCATAAAGAAGAACGAATCTTCATTAGTGCTATTGACCAAAAACGGTACGACAAGTTAAGAAAAAAACAAAGAAAGGAGTAAATGCTACTAAGCATTCTGTTGCATCTGTTATGTTACCGGCGCATTTGTCAATGTCATCAGAAATTTAGAGTTGCATTATCTTAACGATCTTTGGGCGCTATTCTGAGCATGTCTAGCAAGACTGCGAGGACAGAATGAGAGAGGTTCGCAAGTGGCCTTGAGTTTGCCGAATTTTTCTCTTGTATTGATTTTTGCCGAAAACTACAACGAAACTAATTAAAGCATCTCTGCCGAAAGGCATGAGCCAGAACCACATAATAGGGTTGGTTATTTTTTTAATCAAAAAAACAAACAAAAAAAAATATCGACTTTTTAATGATTTTTTTATTTTTATTTTTTTTTATTTTTCAGCTTTTTTGTATTTTTGAAATGTTATTTTTATGTTGCAATTAGCCTACTAACAATGACAGCATATGGATGGCTAAAAAGGGCAGTTATTGCCTTAATGAATGGCCAAGGTGGTGTTTACCACTTTGGGACTTTTGGGTAAACAGTTATTGATAAGTCTATTCATTAGCTTTGTAAAGTTTGTATAGAGCAAGGTAACGAGCTAAATATTGACCATTTAACTGGCTTCAATATACAACAAGACTTCAGGAATGCGGATCTTCTAAGTATTGAAGAGTCACATAACAGATATAGGTAGCTGATAGCACAGTGCACAGCACTATCAGTAGATCTACTAGTTTTATGTCCTATAAATCTACCAGACTCTACCCTCTAAACACTCCGACTAGTACCTAATGACTGAGTGGCTGACTGCGCTGTTCTCATTTGATTCAGACCAATTAGCCAATAATAAACATTAACTGAACGACAACCAAACAAACCTCAAACGACTTGAAACGAAACTTATGTTATGAGAAAAGCTAACACTGTTTGATATAAACATGTATATAATTCAAACATTTTATTTCCATACACTGCATTTAATTATTTTTTGTATAATTTTATAATTGTAATTGTTTTCTTTCTAGTTATAAATTCACATATGTTAACCAATAATACGTTTATGGGCGTTCGCGCCACATGCGAAATTAAAAAAAAAACGAATTTCCGCGAACTTCAATGATTCCGGATTCACCAGTTTGAACGCGGATAAGGTGAAAAAAAGCTACATTGCTGCAAGAGGTTTGTGCTACAAGTTTGTCTTCAGAGTGATTAACGAAATGGCAAGAATACAGTTATTTGAATAAAAAAATACTTAACAGCGCAGACGGCCCAACAAAGGTGGGTCAAAGATAGTTTAAAATATTAAAATCATTCCTCGTTTCACCCACCGTAAGCATATAATGTGTGACGACAGAGATAATCGATGTCTAATCCAGACCTGAAACCTTAATAGCAGTGTACTATTTTTGAAGAATCTGCACATTATTTATAGAACGAGTTGTGAGCATCAATTTAATTATTGAACAAAATATTAGATACCGAAACGTATGCCACAAAAATGTAATAAACTGACTTTTACTTTTACATTGTACAAAGAACAAGAAAATACATTGTATTCACCTGTGAGTTATTCCTCTACCTATGATTCCGTATCACAACTTATATAAGAGCCTTCAGCCGAACGCCTTCAGCCAGATCCAGAGATGACAATGACAGTTTAGGAGACGCAAACATTGATCAAAACACAGCCTTGAAGCCGTGAATGATCCCGGAATACTAACTACTCGTATATTATTGTCTCATACAAAACTTTTATTTTATCGTACGAACTGATTCAAATGAAAATATATTGGAACAACCAATTAAAACTTATATCGTTGTAAGATGAATCAAAATGATATATAGTGGGTGCAGCTGCGCTCTAAACAAGAGCACGCCGCTCGGGCCGAGTGACAAACTGATAACTGAGCTAGGAAGTGAAGACCTTTTAAAGTCATGCAGCCGTGCAAGTCAATTATGTAACATAAGAGACATACTTATTAATGTGATAGACCGTTATGAGATTCATTTGGTTCCAATGAAGGTACATTAATTTGCACTAATAACAATAAGTCACAACTACGCACATTGGCTACCTGTTGTAACAACATAAATTTTCAATACAATTCTATAACGACACATGTAAAAAAATTACATAAAATTATAAAACAACTATGAATTATTATATGAAACAATTCTATAACAACACATGTCAAAATTACATGAAATTATAAAACAACTTTGAATTATTATATGAAATTATTAAACAACATGAAATTACCAAACTACTCTAAAAGTCTACAACATGCTACACCTACACACCTATATTATAAAAAGTAATAAGTGTCGCGAAACGCATAGTTTTAGCCGGGGTGTCTTCTATACAGGATTGCATTAAGGTAAATGATGCAAAATGGCAGAAAATTTTGCAATACATAAAATATATTGTAATACTATAAATATGTATTGCAATGTAATATAAAAAATATGACAATAACGTAAACAAAATGATATATTTTTATTTTGGTATTGCGACGGTAATTTGACCAAGAAGTAATTATCTTAATTCCTTTTAATTCAGTAATAATTATGAACATCCATGTTGTGTTTTCCGACACCGGCTCGGCGCTTGCCAGTATATATTATTGCGGCTTTAGTACTCTATGTGGTGAAAACAAAAACTAATAACAAACCAAAATCATGACTTCCGTGTGCAGGAACACGTACAGTGCATGAGGCCTGCAGTTAAGTCAAAAACAAAGCCCTTGAATGGGAGAGCTGGGGGCAAAGTCTGAGTTTTGCAGAGCTTAAAAATAAGAGTTGCGGTGTGATGCTACGGCGGGACCAGAGAGACGTGATGTGATGAGGGACTATGTGATAATACGAGGGAATGCCGTAATGTGACGAGGAAATGCCTTGACGGGAGCAGAGACCACGTGATGTGATGAGGGACTATGTGATAATACGAGGGAATGCCTTGACCCTTTCATGGTATACATTGACACTGCAATTGCAGGAATGACGTGAGGTAAAAAGGAATATGACGTTGTTATGATCGCCTTACCTTGTTAGAATTACTGCTTTATTTTCGTGTATTTTATTATGAATTTTTATTGGCTACTTTAATTTGTATTTTCTCAGAAATTTATTATTTCTCGCTCAGTCGTGCTTTAGTGAACGGAGCAAATGTTTCTTACTGTCAGGTAGGACTTTCGATAAGCCAGTAGTCCAACGCAAGCTGTCAGTTGCATAAGTTGTCGGAGGTTGAGGCCGACGATACGGGTGCATGCTGCAGAAATCATGCAACATCCGTATTGGTTACGGTCTTCCGAAAGAACTACCAAAGACAATACGATCACCAAAGGCTTTTGTGTCGTGGCCGAAACGCGAAGGTTGCGGCAGCGTTTGCGCCGCGACATCGTGACGAGCGAATGCCGTGAAATTACGATGGTGCACATGCAGTGATGCGACAAGGAACCTCCTTGTGAGAGTTCTTGCGACGGGTGGAATCTTAGTTCAAGAAGCATGTTTCAATCGAAACGTAATGTTAATTTGTAATGGTTCATTCTAATAATTTTATTCTTCTGTGTTTTATAATTTGTTAACAAGGCAACAAATTATAAAGTGTTATTTATTAATCGTTATCTTACGTTTATGGTGCAATGAAACCAATATTCAAAACAAAGCAATGGAAACATTGTATAGAATTCAGTACTACCCAAAACACGTTATTCAAATTGACAAGCCATGTTGTATTTCGTCATCATGTTATTGGCACTTCCTGCGTCATTTAACGGTGAAATTAAGTCGAAATTCGAAGATGAACTCGGTGATTCCATATTACAGGAAGAGGAAATAATACGTTTGTTAAATTAAACAGAAACTGTTACACGGATACCACAAGATTCCTTAGCACATCCATTGGTGCTCTGAGCGAATCAGTAATGATCATAATTTGGCCTTCGGGTCAGTATAGGTTCGGAATACTAAATATTACTCACAAATATAATGCGCGTCCGCAAAATATTAACAGAGTTGACCTTGACAGAACAACATCAGGAGTATTTCGCTTCATCTTCTAGCGCTCTATTCTATATATNTGCCAAGAGGTTCTTTTAGCCTCATTCCCAAGTTAACCGAACCGACGTGCAAGTCCCTGATGCCAAGAGGTTCTTTTAGCCTCATTTCCAAGTTAACAGAACCGACGTACAAGTCCCTGATGCCAAGAGGTTCTTTTAGCCTCATTTCCAAGTTAACAGAACCGACGTACAAGCCCTGACTCACTTTCCCCCACATAGGTTGACCGGAGGACTTCTCTATCGCGTGTGCCTCTTATTTTGCATGTTATAATTTTGGAATAAAATTATTGGGAGTTGATCCTCGAGACAGTTTCCCGATGGTGCTGCCTATATCTCCTCTACTGCCGGAAAATTCTTTAACTTTTCGCAACAAAGTACCAAAGAACAACTTAGATTTATATTTCAATTCAACGCTTTATTGACGGTCATATTATTATATTATTTTCTTTTTATTTCTGATTAAGGCATGGTGTTTTTAAGTAATATGTTAATTCTATCATTTCTGCTTTCAGTTTCACTCCAGGAATTAATGCCGTTTTCATTTCCTTATTCTCATTCAAACAACAAATATTTTAAACACTTTCACTTGTTGGTAACATTCTATCACTAATGCTGCAATGTTCAGCAAACAACAAACTCTCACTCGAGAGCAAACTCGAGCCGTTTTAGTGGCGAGATTGAATAGGTATATAATCGCTATCTGAAACGAACTATTTTATGGTACGCGGTGAATGAAATAAGATGAAATACAACTAAAAATACTAGATAATGTTGCAAGACAATAAATGAGTCCAGGAAAAAAATAGCCTACAGCGACACACGCGACAGTGAACTTTCGGTCTACCAAGGTGATGGGGCAGGGGTCGGGTAGGGAATCCCCTTACGCGAGGTTTTTTGCAATTGTCACTGGCTTTGCGCCACCTCTAAAAATTTATTTGTTACGAAAATTCTTTGAAAGGCATTATGGTGTCCACATAAGAAGTAAAAGTCGAATATGAAATCTCCACAAAGGTTATTTTCCGGTCCACATCACTGGCTACGTTCGCGTGCCCCGTATTTTTCTCGAGAAGAGTATCATGCACCATAATGGTGCATAATACGCTTGTGTTTAGTGTTGCTTGTGTGTGTGTTTAGTGTTGCTGAACAATATGATGGTCATTAACATGGTACCCACCTTGCCATGAGGAGGACAGGAAAAGGCATACATGATGCGGTCGCCCCAGGTTGGGGAGGGGGGCAAGGGGTTGTGTTTTTTCATGACTGGCCTGCAGCAGCGCCACAACTCACGACACGATTCAAGGTTGCCTTGTTTACCATCGGATGTGTCGTTAATGCCAACATCTGCAAATGTGACGTGTATTAAACAATGACTAACATTCAAAAACTCCGTTTGACCTTTTGGACATCAGTTATTCCTGAAAATTCACACTTATATTCATCATCTCGATTCAGCAGCAAATTTAATTTTTAGGCAAATATTAATGACTTACATTCTTCAAAATGGTTCAAAGAACGACGAGACATGACTCTCACTTTTCAAATGTTTTAAATTAACACATAAACTAAGTTTTTTTCCACCAGTGAGAGTTACCCTTCTGTCTCACGATAGATACACTTTTCTGTCACGATAGGGGAAACGATAGAAGGAGTAAAACCTGGAGAACACTCACTCTTGCCGGCAAAGTCGCGACTCCCGGCGTCGCTGTCATGATTCGGAAATTTAAGCTCGCGCAGACGAGCTGAAGGACGCTTCTTTTCGTCGATCTCACGCCCTGCACAGAAAACGGCATGAACCTTAGCTTGCCTGAATTACAGCGGTTTTTCTGCGCTCCGTCTGGCATTACCTTGGCATTTATTTTTTACGCCCCGTTTCTCTATTTATTTATTTATTTATATCGAATGAAACAGCTAACAATAGGCTGTACATCAACTAAGGCGAGTGTCCCAAACATATTACTTGTACTTCATAAACGATTTACCGGCATCTTAATATCTATTAAATCTCACTGAACACCAGCAAATTCAAATTGAAACAACGGTAGAGTGTTTGCACTGTATCGCACCCAAATGTACACAAGCAGGAGTTTGGCGTAAGCAATGAAATAACATAGGATAATTATGCAAAAAACGAAATCAACGACGTGACTCAATACTTTCACCAATTTTGCCCAACATTAGTAATCAAATATATATTTTACGATTTATTTACGAAGACCGCAACTTCAAAACTGCTAAATGGTTGCAATCACAAATGATCTGTATGTGCAGACCCAAAAATGACACCTCACGGATCATCAAATTTGGCAATTTCTTCGTTGAAAATCACACAGTTCAGTTCATGGGAGGAACTGAAAAACTATACCGCATGCAATGCCCACATTTTCCAGGCTGCCCTCGGCATAAGTGCCAGCCTCGAGGCAGGTATCATGCGCCCGATGCTGAAGGCGTCGATGACTGAGTTCTTGGCTGTAGAGCTTCCTGGAGGACTAAGAATCATTACGCTTAACTGCTTTAGCGGTCGTAGCTTGGGATTTTGCTTACAACGTTAGAGTGACTTGTAGTTTTGCTTACAACGTAAGAGTGACTTGTGGTTTTGCTCACAACGTTAAAGTGACTCCTGTTTATAGTATCACTACAAGGACCGCACGTTGTTTGTTTAGAGTTATTGTTGGGTATGGAAGGGTGAAACGGGGAGGGGGATTTTTTCATAAAATTACCAGATTTAGAGGTTATGGGGTCATACTTAATGAGTGATCGAATTCAGCAAACAAAATTTGTTAGTAAAAAATACGACATTGAAGTAAAAGTGAGGGCGATATGTCTCGAAAATTACCAGAACATTTAGTCGAATTTGGAGATGCGCAGTTTTCCTCGGACGACTTGATCTCAGCGGGAGAAATCTCGTCGATGTCTGCGGCTTCGTTATCGTAGGCCGCACTTGGACTGGGAACCGCTAGGGTTATGGTATGGACGGTCATCCCTGAGGATTCTTTAATGTACCTAGAAGAGGACTAAATGGTCCTGGAAGAGGACTAAATGGTCGAGGCTTTCAGCTGCGAATTGCTGAGGGCGGTAGTGGAGATCGGTGCTCCCGCAGTTCGAATTGCCTTCGTGTTTGTCACGAGAGAAAATTCAAGTGTCTTCACTGGAGTCAACTGTAAAAATGTCATTAATTAGTGTGAGACTAATTTTATAACAGTAACATTAAAATAGCCGCGTAGTGCCTTTCTATTGTCTGATTGAATCGTTGCTTTGCAAAAAAATGCTTAAGAAATTTCACTAAATTTTAATATTCTTATTCAGTGATACGATCATTTTTGGCGGGTCAAAACGAGCCATAAAGAAGAACGAATCTTCATTAGTGCTATTGACCAAAAACGGTACGACAAGTTAAGAAAAAAACAAAGAAAGGAGTAAATGCTACTATATAAGCATTCTGTTGCATCTGTTATGTTACCGCCTACCGGCGCATCTGTCGATGCCATCAGAAATTTAAAGTGGCATTATCTTAACGATCTTTGGACGCTATTCTGAGCATGTCTAGCAAGACTGCGAGGACAGAATGAGAGAGGTTCGCAAGTGGCCTTGAGTTTGCCGAATTTTTCTCTTGTATTGATTTTTGCCGAAAACTACAACGAAACTAATTAAAGCATCTCTGCCAAAAGGCATGAGCCAGAACCACATAATAGGGTTGGTTATTTTTTTAATCAAAAAAANATACAGTCATTTGAATAAAAACATACTTTACAACGTAGACGGCCCAACAAAGGTGGGTCAGAGATAGTTTAAAATATTAAAATCATTCCTCGTTTCACCCACCGTAAGCATATAATGTGTGACGACAAAGATAATCGATGTCCAATCCAGACCTGAAACTTTAAAAGCAATGTACTATTTTCGAAGAATCTGCAAAGAATTTATAACATGATTTGTGAGTATCAATTTTAATTACTGAACAAACACTCGATACCAGAGCATATGCCACAAAAAAGTAATAGACTAGCATTTGATTTCACATTGTTGAAAGAACAAGAAAATACATTGTATTCACCTGAGAGTTAATCCTCTACCTATGATTCCGTATCACAACTTATAAAAGAGCCTTCAGCCGAACGCCTTCAGCCAAATCCAGAGATGACAATGGCAGTTTAGGAGACGCAAACATTGATCAAAACATAGCCTTGAAGCCATGAATGATCCCGGAATACTAACTACTCGTATATTATTGTCTCATACAAATGTGCTGTATATACAAATTGAATTCATTTTCACGAGCCTGTATTCTAAAAAAAGACCAAAAATTACTAATATTTGTGCTCGAAAAATAATTTAAGATGCATTCACCGGTGACGCAAAGTTTATACTTCGGGTAAAAGTTAATAAGTCCTACGAACGGTAGCTCTGATGCACAATTAAATTCAGGCCTTAAAATTTAAGCACGGCAAAACAATTGAGGATGCGTTGGACATGCTACCTCAGTTTCGGACACATCCAGAGCGAACTAAAAAACACGCAGGAGTCCTGAGTTGAAAGCTAAGGCATGGCAATGCTGAAGATTGAGACGAAACAGCGCCTTGAATTGTCAACTGAGAAAGATGTAACTCAAAATTGTTAATGGCTGCAGAGTCTGGCCATTTAAATATATAAGGCCTCTGCATGAGCGTATGCGATAAAGAACGTTAAATCCATGCCGAATCACAATGTTTTCATGATGGGTGAAATCATCAACTGATAATAATTTCTTATAATAAAATGTAGCCAGAGAGCTCCAGCCGCGATCGGCATCGACTTCCACTGATGAGATATCTGTAAGGTACTTCCGAACACGTTATAGTGTGATGCGAGCAGAAAAGTTCATGCGATTATTGCATAACAATATCCGATTTCGAGTAAGTCAGAAAAAACGAGATTGTCACGAGCCTTTTAGCAACATTTCTTACTATGCTCAAAAGTTATTTCATGAAACATTTAATGAAGTATGTATCTTATTAAAGCATTTCTCTATTTTACCCTTTTATTTTATCGTACGAACTGATTCAAATGAAAATATCTTGGAACAACCAATTAAAACTTATATCGTTGTAAGATGAATCAAAATGATATAGTGGGTGCAGCTGCGCTCTAAACAAGAGCACGCCGCTCGGGCCGAGTG